GTAGAGGCTCATGTGAGGAATACAGAGCCATGGTTCTTTTTCCTGAACTCCCTCAGGAATGTGGGAAAGAAATGGTCCCTATTTGACATTCCTGGAGGCGTTCAGGAAAAATGGACCATAGTTCTGTGTTCCTTGCATTAGCCCCTACAACATGCAGAAAACCATTTTGAAAAAAAGCGCTCCATGTTCTGAAAGGTCTCCCTTGTAAGATATGCCGGGCTTTCGGCTTACATCAGACTCGTGGTGACTTCTGAACGCATGCTGAAATGACTTTAACAGCTTTATGATGTACGATCTGGTGTGTCTGTACCTTCAAAATCAAACGTTGAGGGTTGAGCAGCTTGGCTAGTCTGATTGCGAGCGGAACCGAGACATATGTATTGGGTAGGAGCTAGGGGTAGGTGTAATATCGCAGCGTTTTTCTTTTCGAGCTACGAATTCAGTGAATACAAGTATAACCCAAAGAAACACATTCATCATTTGAAAGGGCTTTCTGCTCTACAATACCATGTTTGGCATTTTCTTCTATTACTGTAAGTGTACTGTCAGATATGGCGCTTAGAAGTTGGAGAATCAAGGTGGGCGAAAATCTATATAGAGAAAAAAAGCTGCCAAAATAGGAGTTTTTCGGAATCCATCGTCATCATCGAACCTTACCGGTCGTCCCTTAATTTCAAATCATATTCACGTCGTACATATTGAAAATAATGAGGATTCTAGAAACGGGCTCAGTACCCTTTTTTGATTTCTAAACCTGGTGAATTTCTTGCGAAATGGAACCAAAGTCGTAAATAATGATGAGAAGAACATCACTGATCAGTTTTATGCCTAACTTTGCTTTTGGGTTTTTGCTTACACGTTTTTGGCCAGAATGCGGAACGGCTGCGTATTATAATGCTCACAATACTTTGATCCTCAGACAGGTGCATGGCCGCTACATTCACAACCGTCTCCTTTCTCCTTGACCACAGCATGCGCATGGCAGCATCCGAGACCACACAGTATGTAAATCGTCCGATCCTTGTAATTCCTGTTTTGAGAATTACGCCACTGTAAAGCATCTAGCTCTAGCAACCAAGGAGGCCCAACAGGAACTTGTAACAATTGTGCCCACTCCTGACTGTAAAACCTTCCCATCTGAAGTGACCACAGCCTGTTTGGCGCATATGTTGAATAGACGATGTGTCGCACGTCGCGCTCGTAGTGCAGTAATTTTTGAGACGAGGGAGTGGACTTGGTTAGCCCTCTTGTTTGCAGTAATCCACGGTTTTGTGAATCTTCGGGAGGAAATAGCGCACGCTAATGTCGAGTACTGATGTTCGCTCGCGCTACATAATGAGCTCTGACGCCGAGCAAAAAAAGTTGCCCTTGCGCATGATCAAACCACGTCAGAGGCTAAAAAACTGAATGCTTGATACATTTGTTTCATCCAGCTGCTGCTGCTCTTCATCCCATCGCCTAGGGAGATAGGAGAGGACATTGTGGCAAGCAGGGTCAGGTCCCCCACAAGCGCATTCGAGCGTGGTCGCAATTTTGATGACTTGGGAGAGGAGTTTCGTTTTGCTGAAAATTCTGAAAGAAACATGGGCAAGATTTGGGCAACCTTTCACTTTCCAATGGGCGGCATGGAGTGACAGGGCGCGCTTACCACGCGAGCGGTCCGGGATCAAATCCTGGGTCGTGAGTCGCCCGGGCCAACCAAGCCTTCCATCCCTCCGGGGTCGGTTAATTGGTACCAGACTTGTCTGGGAGGATAAAAAACACTGACTTGTACATCGGCTGGCCCCCGCAAGTCATTGTATAGGCCACATCGCATTCAAATGCCACTACGAATGTACAAATGGAAGCGTAGAAACGCTCAAAAAGGGATTGATCAACGGCAAATGCTTTACCCTTTACCCTTTTTCCCTTTTCAGCACTTACATTTCCACTTCTCTCACGTTCAATGGACTTCTAGAGTTCTGGGGTTCAAAGTGGCTCAGGCTGAACAACCAAGCTAATGACACTATCAAATCCGTCAACCTTCAGGGGTTGGAGGAGGTTGTGTTTTTGTTGCGTCTCGCTGCTGGTTGTCTTCTTGTCCTTGTCCACTGTTGGTGGTTGATACAAACAACATTGATCAATGATTATTAGTAAACAAAATTCAGAATGGAAAGCGAAACATGATGTCAACAGTGTTCGTGCTCCTGTTGACACTGAGTCACCTGGAGACGGAACTCTCCACGAAGGCGCGAACACTGCGGGCAAGGTCTAGGTAGGCTCTTACACGAGCGCTCTTCGCTGCGGAAGGGCCATGTCACGGTAATCTGGGGATCCGGGCTCCCTTTACTCTAGTGGTAAGCATGTGTACCTTTTCACCTCCCAAATCATCGCTCCACCTGCCGCTAATCTCTGGGGTCAAAATCCTCAACTGAAAAATAAGGAAGAATTTTATTCGAAAATAACGAACGAAGCAGTCGCATTTCACACTTCAATTCAAGGTCTAACTGTCGAAATTCCTCGCGAGCTGCTTAGCCGAGGGCGTTTTCCAGTGGGCGTGTTCTCGCAAACCAGAAGTGGGCCCTTCATTCTGGTCGTAGACCCCACTGTCTCCTGCCTTTTTGCTGTACACCTCCTCGACATCACCGTTCTGGTGTAGGGCAACGGCTGCTCGTTCCCGGGTACTCCTTGTCCATTCGCTTCTTGAACGCTTTCAGAGCTTCATCAAATCTGGAAAGCAGGTTTTGACTTGTAAACCTGAGGACTACAGAAAAAATCTTTCCACCAGAAGACTCACTTGGCCGTGTTTCTCTTCTGAACCATCAACGATTTTACATTTTTCAACTGTTTGATTCCTCGATGGAACATGAAGACATCGTCCAGCACATCAATCGAGTAACCTGCTCGGCACAGCTCCCATCGCT